TGGAAAGCATTGAACTGTCGGTTTGACAGGGGGCGAAAATTCACCAAAAATTAACGAAGACTCAGAACAAAGCCAAAATAAGTTTGCAAAGGTTTTAGAAGGTGCATTAACGATCCCAAGCATTTAAAACCGTTTTTGAACCTTTTAAGACACACTTAAAATTGCAAAAACGGACATCGCAAAACCATTGGAATGTATTGAATAGGTTTCAATGCATTCCAATGGGGGAAACATTGTATCGCTTAGCGATGTTTCATATGGGGATTTTCGCTTAAGGACGGTAATCCGTTCCCATTGGAACGGATTAACCGGTTTTCAATGCATTCCTATGGGAAATGGTGTTTTGCTTAGCGATGTTTTCCCATAGCGTTGTTTTTTGGGAACCAATTAACATCGTTAAGCGAGGCACCACTGTACTGCTGAACAAACTTGAATAGCACAAAGCAACTGCCAGCCTCTCCTCCCAAACCCACTTCAAAAGAAACTTTGCTGTTGTGTTTGGACTTTGAACATCTTATGTCACATTAAAGAAAGTACCTTTGTTTCCCCTTTTCATCCATATTTTGATCCTGAATAAGGTCTCGGCGTGTTCGCTCTTTGGAGGTAGCAACAACAGAAGATTGCAACGCAGGCTACAAGAAATCAAAAATATATTATTAGACACTTCTCCATATTTTGGTCAACCCCAACCCGACATTTCCAGGTATATTTTACTTTTTTAACATCATCATCCTCTGCGTCGCTTTCATGGCGTGATTCTCTTCTTGTCCGACGTTCCCCTGCCAATCTGCATTTAGGACAAATTGTCAAAAGTGAGTATTTTACATTGGAGGTATACTGACAATTCACAATCAACTATTTCCCGTCTCTTGGACCTGAAAATATTGTAGTTCAAACTCTATTTTAACGGAATCATCGCTAAACTTCGTTTAATGCGTTCCAATACCTTCGTTACTTACCCGTTCAGCGAGGATTCCAATTGCTGGCAGCCATTTTCGCGCCTTCGCTAAGCGAGGGCACGGCGTGAAAACGGCTGCTGGCAGCCATTTCCGGGCTTCCGGCGGCCATTTTGGAGCCGCTGAACAGCTGTTCGGCGGTTCCAAAATGGCCGCCGGAAGCCCGGAAATGGCTGCCAGCAGCCGTTTTCACGCCGTGCCCTCGCTTAGCGAAGGCGCGAAAATGGCTGCCAGCAATTGGAATCCTCGCTGAACGGGTAAGTAAGAAAGCATTGGAACGCATTAAACTAAGTTTAATGCGTTTCAATACATTTTCCCTACCCGTTTAGCGACGATTTCGCATAGCGAGGGTTAATCCGGAACGGATTAACCTCACTATGCGGGGCACCACTGTATTTATTAAAGCAGACATCTGTGTCAAGTTTTTCCCTAGGGTTTGATGATTCCCTTGGGAGGCACAGCTGCTGCTGCTTAGCAGTTATTTCTGACTGCTGCAGCTACTTGTAAGCTGTACTGCTTAGTGGTTGTTGTAGGTTTTTCATGAAGAGGCCAGCCACAGAGACTGGCGAAACGTTAGGAAGAACAACCTTCAGAACACAGCCAAAGATCCCGGAAAACACACAACAACCATTAGATCCCGGCTGTGAAAGGCTTCGCGAATGTACTGCTTAGTATAGCTTCACAACTTTTGGGAGCAGCAGCAAAAGTTCATGGCAACTAATAGATCCTAGTATTACCTAACTACAGTTTCCATCTTTAAATACTTGCATTAGCCAAACTGGGAAAGGCTTATCAATCAAGTGCAGCCCAAGCACACACTATGTGTAGTAACCATAGCAAAAGCCAGTGTTTCAAAATGTGCAGCCCAAACCCATAGTAATTTTTAAATTTAGTAGACCAACTCCTCTGAACCTGTTGTTCAACAGATAAAACAATGCTCCCCTACCAGTTTCCCAAAGAAATAAGAATCAACACCCAAGTTTTTTAATGTACATAACTGCACAAAAAGAAAAGGAATGTAAATATGTCAGTGTACAGCATATACAAATCAAAATATTCCATAATGGATGAATGACTACAAGTATGCAGTCCTGCATTAGTACAATTATACAGTAATTACTTAAAGTATGTAGTAATTGCAAACTATTAATTACATGAAATTATGAACTATGTAATAGTGGATGAAAAAGGCATTTTGTTCTTCAATTTAAATCACTTTCATTTTCTGCCCACCTATTGGTTGCCCCTTCCAGATCCCTCTGTTTGGCTGGGGGTCCTCCTCCGCTATCCGAGAATCCACGCCTAAAACATAACAGCAGATGGAATCAGTGTTCTCGAAGCAGGTTATTAAGCAGAAGAATCCATGGGCAGAATTCTTTTCATCTGCTCTGCTCACTCAACTGTCTGTTGTGGAACCTGTACAAATTTCGCCTCTGGAACAACCTTCCTCCAGAGATTCGTGAGGCCCCGTCGCTGGGTATTTTTAAGACGCATCTCAAAATTTGGATGTTCAAGCAGCTTTCCCTCCAGGTAACACCTAACGTTTTCTTCTTTAATTTAGTTTTTGTTATATTGCCATCTTGAAAACCTGTCTACTGCTTATTGTTGGCTGCTTATTGTTATTGTGTATAGTATATTGTTTTTTTGTTATATGTACATTTTATTGTGTTTATATGTCTGGAAGCCGCCTAGCGTGGTCATTTTGAACAGATAGGCGGGGTATAAATAAAAAATAAATAAATTTCTAAAATACACTACCTCCTAGTACAAATAAAAACCTGCTCATATCAACAGGGCATGCCCTGAACAAAGATTTCGCTTTACAAGTAGCAAGCTTTAGATCAGCTATGCAATTTGCCATTAATCTGAAATGAGAAGTTCTCTGCCTTGAAACACTAACTAGAGAAACAACTGCATCTAATAGGCATAGAACTGTATGTGTGGCATCCATAGCAAAAGCCAGTGTTTCAAATAATTAAGTACTATTAAAGCACACAACTCTTGTCTAGATTTATGGCCTAAAGATCTTTATTGCCTAGCTTAAAAAATATATATTAAAAGCCGTCTGCATTGTACTTAGTAGTTATATAGTTAACTCTATTTTCACTGCTACTTCTAAGATGAATGAAGCATCTAGGGTTGATTTATGGTGGTGAAGGTAGCTGCACTACACTAGTATGTACTATGTGTGTCAAGATCCTGTAACTAATATAGGCCACTATTAATAGTAGCTTTTAAAACTGTAAAGTCATTTGTTGAGTTATATGATACCACCAGCGCAAAAAGCTTGCTCCTTGTTTAATAATACTGCACTAAGAGAATAACTTGTTAGGATTAGATCTTTAAATCAAGAAGTATTAAGTAACCTGACAATCTCCAGAACTACTGCTGCCTCTGTGCAAGCAAAAGCAGAAATGAGCAGTGTTCCAACCTAGTTGCCTATAGTATGGCCATTAACAATGGATTATAAGTGACCCTGAATGGCAAACTACACACTTCCTCTGGCACTTGCTGGATTCCATGTAGACTTATGTGGAAACCTCACAGCAACTGTAGCCCTGCAAACATGGGTTGACACTGTACAATTTTTGCATGACTTCTCAAGGATATAATCCATGGGACTCTTGTCATATTTCCTTTCTTCCCATCCACAGCCTACAGATTCTTACGATGTTATACTAAAACAAAGATACACCACACAATCATAGGAATCTGGCATCCCTTTAGCTGCCCTGCAGTAAATTCTGGTACACCCAACTAAACAACTGGAATGTGTAAGAGCCCACAAAAGTCTAAGCCGAGTCATGACCGTGTTGTCCAACTCGTGTGAGTGTACAGTGCAGATGCATCCTAAGAGCCCTGAAGGTTTGGCCCTTAAAATACACCACGGGTCATTCTGCTGCATGAAACCGCCTTTGAATCCCTCAGTGTTGGGTCCACCGGTTCTTACCTCAGCAACAGACTTCCACGCCCCCTACCTCCACCAGGGCCTGTGATGGTCAGCAGTCTACCTTGAGCGGGTCTGGGAAAAAGAACACACACACACAAACCATCGACGTTAAAGAGCTAGAAAGGTGTGGAAACGGCCAGAAACACGCCCTCGGCCCGCCGCAAAGAGCGGGCGGCGGAGACCTCGTGGCCAGAGCGCAGCCGCCCTTCCCGCCTCAAGCGGGCGTCTCTAACGGACTCCTCAGGAGGCCTTTTTTCCGGGCGGGATTCCCTCTCTCCTTCTTAGGCGAACCTCGGCCCGCCCTAAACCCCTCTTTCCCGCCAGAGGAACCAGACCGACTGATCGTAACCTCCACCCACATCCAGATCCTGCGCTGAGCAGATCCGGCGTTCGTACAAAATGCGGTCCACCGACATCCCCCTCCAGGAGGAAGTGAGAACACCCCGCCTCAGGAAAGAAAGCGCGGGCAAGAAGAAAAGGGTAACGGATCCCCCTCAAGGCGCGAGCCTGCCCGCCTGCTCCGCACCCCAGCCCGGCTCGCCATTCACCCCCTTTCGCCAGCCTTACCGAACATCGTTGGGATCCCGCCCCGTGAGTTTTCGGATATTTTCATCGACGTGCTTGAGGCTCTCCTTGGCCTTCTCGAGCTGCTCTTGCAGAGCCCGCACGGCCACCGCCATCTCACTTCACACAACTGCGGCCTACCAAGCCCGGGCCCAGCAGCCACCACGGCGGCGCTCAACGAAGGCGAGGATTAAATTGGCCCACCCACACGTAACGTGGCTTTTTCAGGCACTCCGCCAATCGCAACACACGTCTCGGAGAGACAACGGACACTTTCTAGCGTCTAGCGAGTCGCTACCCACGCAGATTAACTGACGCGAGTTTGCTCCAATCATCCGTCTCTTCTTTAGCCAATCAAGAGCCAATATCCCTGAAGTTCTGCGGATTGCAGCCACTCGCCAGTCGCCTTCCATTGCGTTTCATACGAATCATTAAACGCCAGGATAGAATGACATATTTAAGAGCCAATCAAATTGCACACTTGTCCAATAACTCAATCAGGAAGCCTCTTCAGCGTATGGGTGCCCTGCTCATTTTCGCGCGTTCCTCGGATTCTAAGATGCCTTGAAGTGCACGGGGCGGTACCAAGTCCAATTCTAAGGGTTTTTTGTAGCGGCCCTTTTATGCTCTCTTACGTTATATGAGTAAACTCTACTATCCTCTGTGACACTTACTTTTCAATTAGCGACCGTAGGACGAGAGTGCAAAAACTGCAACTTGAATTTAACAGCTTAAACTGGAATTGAGCGATTAAGCAGCCTAGAGTGGTCGCAATGACCAGATAGGCGAGGTAATAAGTAAATAAGTAAATAAGTAAATAAATAAATAAGTGTATCCCCAGCAATTTCTGTCCTTTTTTTGCTGTAGTCACACTCTGTTATTTCAACAAGAAACATAAAACAAAAAGCAAAAACACTTTATCGCACTTTAACTGCTATGTTTTAATAAGCTTTAATGAAACATTGCCCACTTCTTCAGGCATATGAGTTAGAATACTGTACAGGGACACCACCTTTCCCCCAGTACGCTCAAAGTGTCACACGTGGCCATTTTGTCCTCCCAATGACCTTGTGAGGCAGGGTGAAAGTGCGACTGACCCAATGTTACTAAGTTTTATGGCCTACTATGTGTGTGAAATCAGATCTCCTGAGTCCAGCACTGAACTGATACACAAAACTGATTCTGGCTTTACTTTTTAACATTCTTTCTTTTTATAATTGTGGCTGACCATACTGCAGACTGCTAGTACAGTTATAATACAGCGATACATAATAATAGTGTGTGCTGTCAAGTCACTTCTGGCTGATGCCAATTTTTCCCCCCAGGGTTTTCCAGATAGACAGTACTCAGATGGTTTTCCATTCCCTTCTTCTGGGGGTGTTGCCCAAGGCCACACAGGCTGGCTCTTCTCCCAGGAGGCACAGTGGGGAATTGAACTTCCAAATCTTTGGCACCACAGCCAGCTACACTTAAACCACTGAACTATCCAGCCAGCCATAGCACTATACTCACAGTAATATTGCTGTGAGAATTTTAATAGGCTAATACACTAGCAAATGAGCCAGGCAAAAATGACAAGAACTGTGACAGGCATTTATTGCTGTGAGAATTTTAATAGGCTAATACTGTACACTAGCAAATGAGCAAGGCAAAAATGACAAGAACTGTGACAGCCATTCCTATGTAAACACCATCACTACTACTACTGTTTTGTCAGATAAATTCTGATTTATGGCAATTCTCCCATGGTTTTCTGGTTATAAAGTACCGTACTTAGAAGTGGTTTACCAGTCCCTCATTCTGGTGGCATTCTGAGACCAGGCAGCTTGCCAAAGTCCTCAGAGATGGCAGGGCATGTAGGCTATCATTTACTGCTGACTTGCCTCACAAGGTTCTTGCAAGAACAATAAGCCATATCTTGTGCTCTTTTTGCTCTTGTTTCTTCCATCAGATATTGTCCCAGGATACACAGTGGGGATCTGAGTGACTGGCTCAGCAACCAGGTGCTCCAATTCACTGACCTATATCAGTTCCACTAGTCTATACCAGCTAGTTCCTACATATTCCATAACAATTGGACATTATATCAGTTCCACTAGTCTATACCAGCTAATTCCTACATACAGTATTCCATAAGAATTGGACACCTGCCTTATTAGCCATGACAACCCCCCTGTAATTGCTCAATCACTAGCAATCTATACAGCAAATTAATTCAAACTTCAACCTTTTTGTCCTCTTTCCAGAGCACTGTGAGAAAATGTTTAATGTTGAGCTGGATTTCACTGCAGCAACTCTTAAGTGTCTGATGCAGTGCTGCAGTTTGCTACCAGCTGTGATCTTATTCTGAGATGTGGGCATGCACATTTCACTGGGAGTCTGCTTGTCCATTCTTTATTTATATTTGTATCTCATACTTTCTAAGCATGGCCTCATATGTTTATTTTTATTTAACCCTTCCTCAGGTCGAACAGAGTACAACACACAAACATACCGTAATCAAAATCATAATGCTAGGTAGGTGGAATACCAGTGGGGTCTGCCCATAGTTGCTTTCCTCTGCCCATAGTTGCTTCCAAACTGCACAACATTCCTGAATCAGTCCATTTGGGTCACTTGTCCAAAGAGAGTGCACATGCACAAATATTCCTGAGGCTATCATTTTACAGTATTTAACAGTAAAGCTAATGGACTCAGCTGGACTTAATTAAGCAACAGGATCAAGTTGTATGAGACAAATTACTCCGAAATGCATCCAAAACTAACCAGGGACTTGATTCAACCTAAGACATGCAGCTTAGCCTTATACACCTAACTTGGAAGTCAGCTGAAACGAGCAGGATCCTGATTTAGTCATAGGTTCAGCAGTCATATATCCTCATTTACTGAAGACAGCAATGTCTTTGAAAGGCTGCCAAAAGGCAGTCTCCCTTTTAAGGTGTCCTCTATCCACATGATTTATTGGGATCCTCCCCAAATCACTTTCATGTGGATTCATGAGGATCTACATCTCAGATCCATGTGTTTGCAGCACCAGAATGTAGCAAAGGAACAATAACTTACGTGATTTAGTCTGTGGGCATACATGGGATCTATGATCTGATGGTGGTTTGGGGGAGGTTTCCATGTAAAAATCATATGAAATCATGACAATTTGCACCTCAGATCCATGTACTGTGGCAATGCCATGCTGGAAAGGATCGTGCTTTTTAGGGTTTAGTCTGTGTGGACACAAATGGGATCTATGATTTAGTGGTGGTTCGAGGAGGATCTAATTTAAAAAAATCATATTAAATCATAGGTATTTGGTTTTTTATTTCATGAGTCCAACTGTTACTTTCTTCCCATTTGGACTGCTGGCTCTGCAGATCTACCCCTAAGTGAAAAAGTTTATATGACAACACCATGTTAAATTCTGCACCAGCACAAGTAAATTAGCAGATGCAATTGTATACGAATAATTGCTGTTTTGTTATATATTTTTTAGAGATGCATATCCTCTTAATAGCCCAACAGATAGTCACTGCACTTAAAAGTAAGCGATCCAAATAAAATTAATGGGGCTTAGGTTAGTCAGGAGTAACTCGCATTGATTTCAGTGGCAATTATTCTCTCTCTCTCTCTCATTCAGTAACTGCAGATTCCCACCCTGTACCTTCCTCCAAAATCAGCGCGCAAAAGTCTGCCCGGAAGTCTTCCTTCTGCCTCCCCCCCCCGCCATTTCCCCGCCTCTTTTGCGGCACTGGAGAGAGAATCCAGGCGGCAACTTCCAGCCCCGAAGCCCTGCTGCCGTGGCCGCTTCGCCTCGGCCTTAAGGAGGCGCTTGGGCTGGCCTTGGCCGGACGAAGAGCGCGAGGGCCTGGAGGCCCCCACCGAGCTGGGAGCAGCCCGGCATGAACAAGTCGGAGATGGCGGACGAAGCCCTGTTCCTGTTACTGCACAACGAGATAGTCTCCGGGCTGTACCGCGCCGCGGAGCAAGGCGACGGGGTGTGTATGTGTGCGTGTGTGTTTGTGTGTGTGTGGGGAGGGCTGTCGCTTTCCCGGGAGGGAGGTGGAGCATAGGCTGGGGCCTGAGCTTCCGCCACGGCCTGCTGCCTTGGGAGGGGGGCGGTGGCGGAGGGCACGGAGGGCGCCTCTGGTTTCTGTGCGCCCCGAAGGTTGCCCTGTCGCCTGCTCTGGCTTTGGCGGCTCTCCAGGTTGGCCAGAGGGCATTTCCATTCTCTAGGCTGGGGGATCATTTTGGGCAAAGCCCGTAATGGCCGGATTGCTCCCCCTGCCCCCTTGTGACAGCAGGGATGGCCCACCTGGGTAAACAACTGATGGTATGGTAAAAGGCACTTGAAGTGGTCGGGAATCAGTTCCCTTAATTTTTCTGCCCTACTCGTTCTGATCCAGTTTTTCAGTTCCAACGGAAAGGGTTTCAAAGTATGTGAGCTGTTAAAGGAGCGGTTTACCCTTGCCAGCAGTGGTGGTCCCTGGGAGTTTCCATGACAGAATGGAGATTCGAACCCAGGTCTCCAGAGTCCTGGTCTAGCACTCTTATTTGCTATACCACACTGGCTCTCATATGTTCCATTAGGACCCCTATTGTATTTTTAGGGAGCTACAACATATTGGGGTTTTAAAAGTCTAAACATCATAGGCATCCTTCAGTCTCGAGAGACTATGGTAACATGATCTGAATCGAGGAGTGTCCTCTCCAGAGCATGAAGCCCGGATAAGGTAATATGGAGGATAGGCTGTTACCCAAGCAGCAGATCCCCCCTCTCCACATTGCTGAAATGGTCCAATGGAAAGGCAAGAGCCAATACAACTGGTTCCAGTGATGTCGCAGGAGTTGGCAGAACGACACATGCTGCCTTCGGGACTCCAGCTCCGGATTTTGCCTCGAGGTTGACTCCTGAAGCCTTTTCCATAAGTGGATATAGCCACAAGGCAGTGGAGGTTTGAAATTGGAGTTTTCCTTCTCCTAGATGGGCTGCCTTCCATGGCTGACGAGCCCCACCTACCCGGCAAAAGTCTAAACAGGCTTTTGTTTTGTTATATCAAGAGAAGACGAGATTCATTGCAAAATACAATCATGCACAGAAAAGTAGAAGGTGCCAAGAAAAAGAGCAGACCCCACAGGGTATGGATTGATTCAGTAAAGGAAGCCATGGCCTCGGGTTTTTACAGTTGGAGCAGGGCTGTTGGTGATAGGATTTTTGGAGGTTATTGATTTATGGGTTCACCATAATGGGTTGGAAGTCGTTTAACAGCATTATTTGAGTTTATCTTATGTTATTTATATGCTGCCTTTTTCCATATGGGACACAAAGCAGCTTACAGTCAACTAAAAGTCACACAATTGCCATTAAAAACACTATAAGGAACACACTAAAAACAATTAAACATAGAGCAATACTTAAAAAAAACATTGAAAATAAAATTTAAAAACATTTTAAAAAAAGAGGTAGAGCAGAAGTGCTAAATAGCTAAGTGGTTTAGATATAATACCTGACTCCTAAGCCAAAGGTTAGGAGTTTGATTCCCAGCTGTACTTCCCTGACAGGGGCTGGACTCAATGATCCTTAGAGCCCCTTCCAGCTTTGCAGTTCTATGATGATGATCAAAACCTGCCTGAAAATCATGTAGCATATGAAAGATGAAGAGATTTACCATGATGCAAGCTTTTGTGGATTATATGCCTGATGAAGTGGTCTTCAGTCCACAAAACCATATACAGTACTGGAATGTTGTTATATATTTCAAGGGTCAAATAATTACCGTATTTTTCGCTCCATAAGACGCACAGACTTTCCACCCCCCCTGTTTTGTGGGGAAAAAGTGCGTCTTATGGTGCAAAAAATACGGTATATTGCTTTTGCCAACATGGCTAGCCTTATGTAGAAAGGAAACTTGTACATATTTCCAACTATTCTCTCAAATGCATTGCTATGTGTTAATTGCAGTATAAAGCTGATGAACTGAAGGAGAAACGTGAAAGAACACTTTAAAATACATTGAAAACAATTGGTAATATGTATATTTCTGTTGTGTTTTTAGACAACATGCTTGGTAAATGATTTTTATTTTTGTACCTTACAGGAAAATGGACGATGCATCACAAAACTGGAAAACATGGGATTTAGAGTAGGACAGGGATTAATAGAAAGGTGAGTGAAACAGCTTCTCTCCTGATCCCTGCCTCTGGAGTAGCAAATGTTCTAGCAGATTTCCAAATGGCTCCCTAGGAACAGCATGATTGAGTTTACCCCACCTGAGAGTTTATGATTAAAAATCCTTTGTCATTAAAAATCCTATGTTTAATTGTGAATATTAAAATAGGTGTGAAAAGGTGGGAAACAATTATTTTCAAGTTGTATTTTTAGCTTTGCAAATATTTTGCTTATTTCATAGTATACAACAAACAACAAGGCTTACTAATTTTAATGAGTCTCCTATGGCAGTGATTCCCAACTGTGGATTACCCAGGTGTTCCTTGGACTGCAACTCCCAGAAGCCTTCACCACTTGCTGTTCTGGTTGGGGTTTCTGGAGGTTGTAGTCTATGAACACCTGGGTTATCTAAAGTTGGGGATCACTGTCCTGTGGTAAATATAGGGTTTACCTCATAGCATTTCTTAGTAAAGAATATAGTTTAAAAAATTAAAACACCTTAAAAGTAATGTAAAGATGATGCACACAGTTACTTAATGTGGCTGTTTCCACAGAGAGGGCTCCTACCACTACCAGACATTAACAGCGACACAAACAAAAAGTATTGTGGCACCTTTAAGACTAACCAGTTTATTTCAGTATTAGCTTTCTTATGTTACAATTCACTTCTTTGGATACAAGGATTTGTTTTTGGTTTGATTTTATTGTTGCTGAAAGACTAGCATGGATTCCTCTCTGAAAACCGTAATTAAGATGTTATTCAGCTATTCCATTTCTCTGCTTAACAGATTTTCCTTACTAAGAAAAATAATGGAAGAAGGGATGGAAAAACTTGGGAAGTTACAAAACGCGCAGTGACTAAACATAATTTTTTTTTCTAGAAATACCTTCTATAGCCGTGATTCCCAACCTGGGGTATGCACTTGGGGGAATGTGAAAAAAAAAAAAAAGAATAATGGCGGAAAACATATACATTGGAAATAACAACAACCTTATTAATTAATTGCAAATATTTTGCTAATTTGAAGGGTGTACTTTATGGAAATAGGCTGCCAAGAGGTACGCAAGGTAAAAAGGTTGGGAACTACTGCTCTACAGGAAACTTTTCTGCATGTGATTTGTTACCTAAAAGCATTACTGATATTCCGTAAATAAAATGCTGCTGCTACTTTGATTTATTAATTCTATTCTATTTATTTATTTATTTAGATTCACCAAAGATACTGCCAGGTTCAAGGATGAATTAGATATAATGAAGTTTATCTGCAAAGATTTTTGGACAACTGCATTCAAAAAACAAATTGATAATCTCAGGACCAATCATCAGGTATTAATATTGTAAGAATATTGGATATTCAGAGCAATCAGCTGTTTTGCATATCAGTCATGAATAGGCACAGGATAAAGCTGCAATCACATATATTTTATTGAACTTCAAGGATAAATATATCAAGTCAATGAATCTTAATTCATTCCCAAACTGAAATGATTGGGACTCTGATTTGGCAATTTTATCAGGTGCAAGTAAACCACCAACAGTTAGCAATTTGAATTCCCCGCCTTTTTGCCTGTCTTTTTTCTGGTTGTAACTGGAAGCTCTGGTTGCAAGTTGAAGCAAAATTTTGCGGCTGGAGCTGGTCGTAACTCGAAATGGTTGTAAGTCGAGGAACCACTGTACTTTAGCTCAGATGCAGAATTCAGTGTCATATCTTCTTTCTTTATTCATATCAGAGCAGTGGAGAATTTAAAATTGTGGATATATATGAAATACAGTCAAAATCTAAAAAAAAATTTAACATTTTAAGCTCAGCAATTTTTGACCAGAAGCAGGCTACTCCAATAGCATCTTGACTATTAGATTTTTTTTTTGCATTTGTGGTATACAAAAATGCAATAAATGTTGCAAAGATTGAATTCCTCAGATTGAAATGTCCTCTGTTAAAACAGAATGATGGATACGTCTGGACTTGTGATTGTATATAAGAATCGTAGGGATGCATAGGTGGATTCCTAATGGGAGATTACAGAGATTCCAGTTTTAAGCAGTAGGAACTATATCTGATGGGAGAAATAAAATGTAATAGCATTTGTTTGAAAACGTTTGGTGTACAGAGGCTAGTTTGCATGCATTATAGTTCTTGGCTAGGTTGTGAGCTTAACACATTATTCTTGTATGAACAGCTCGGAAAAAGGCAAATTATTACATCCCAGGCTGTTCATACAAGGGAATTTCAGACAAAACCCCATTAATATCTGTTTCTGCAGGGCATCTATGTACTTCAGGATAACAAATTCCGTCTCCTCACTCAAATGTCTGCTGGAAAACAATATTTGGAACATGCCCCTAAGGTGTGTATTGTATGCAACTCGTAAGTTTCAAATTCTCATTTGAATTATAATGCATTTCCTAAATTATTTGTGCCTTACACAACACTTATGAATTTCTATGCATATAATTTCTTTTCCTGGTGCAAAGATTTGTCATGAAGATTAATAAAAAAACATGTATTTTACATGGGTGTCCTATCAAGTAGTTGTACAATAGTTGTCAGATCCATGTTTGTGTGCATTAGAATGTTACAAACAGATTCTCTCATCCCTCATCCCAAATGGAAGTGTATTTAATCTGTTCTGGAAAGTGACACATTCCCTCTAGTTCATGGCTTGCGTAATCCTGTTTTGTTGTGGGAGTCCTTGTCAACTGTCATGGCAGGGAGCACCTCTCACCAGTTATGACTGGTGTACCAGTTTCACATCATCCTATGCTGACGAGTATATGGTTTGGTAGTGTCCATATTAAACTGAAATGGATTTTTGTGGAAGAATATCAACAGAGTAATCTAATCCTCTGCTCACCAGTATATTATAAGGGCTATAGTAGTTGGAGAACTCTGTCCATTGAGATAGTGGTCCATAAGTAGAGGTAGTCTGCTTCCAGAAGTTGAGGTTTGGCAGGATTCCCGCTGATCCTGTGCCATCAGAATTTGGGAGGAAAGGAATAAAGTAGTCTAGGGCAAACTGGGGGAGAGGGAGCCACAGAATTCAAGCATGTCTATCGGAGAAACTCTGGTGCTACAGTGCCTTTCATTTCCAATGGGGACCCCTCCATCCCTAGGTTGTTACGGTCAGAAAAAGAGCTTCCATCTTTAAACCTTTTGCCCTGCTACTATGACTCCTGCAAACTTTGGAACTTAGTTCTTCTAAGTTTCTTCTACCTGTTTTGGGTTGGGCAAAATGTGGTCCTCCAGATGTTGCTGAACTGGAACTCCAAGCCGTTGCAGTCAGACAACACCTGGAAGGCTGCACTGTTATCACCTCTTGAAGATTGTGAATGACTTCCCCAAAATAACCTGCAAAACCTTTGAGAACATGATGTGACAATGAGTTCATTTTGTTCGATTGTTCTGATTTTATTTTTCCCAGTATTTGGCATTTACATGTGGATTAATCAGAGGTGCTTTATCAAACTTGGGGATAAAAAGTATTGTGACAGCAGAGGTTTCAACAATGCCTGCATGTAAGTATCTTATTTTATTACCACAAAACGTACAATCTCTTCCACTTGATCAACTAGTTGTTCAGTAGTTGTTGAATGAAATGATTGATTACCATCTATAAAACAGCTGGTTTTAAAATACTACTTGTTTAGGAGCATGGAAATAGTTGTGTAAAACAAGGTTAAAGAGTTCAGTAGAGAAGAATATGTCAAATGATAATAGACTTAATTTCTATTCAGATGTAATTACAATTTAGATTCAAACATCTTGCCTAAGATAGTTGTCCTACTTAATTGCTTTGATTTACCCTCTGTCGCCCACCCAATACCAAAGCAAGTGGTGTTCAGGTGAGAGAAAGAGGGAGTGGCTGATGAGACTCTCAGGTAGGGCTACCTTCATGGATAATGTTGTCAATAGATTTTTTTTTCCAATACAAATCCCAGAACACTGTAGTTAAGCTTGTGTTAATTTAGTTTAGAATTAAGATGTGGCTTTGCACATTTCAATGCTGTTGGTAATCCTGTGTACTTGAATTGTACATATCTGCATGATGCCATACTTTAAAAGCTGTTAACATTTATATATGAAAGGTTACCCCCAAATTTAAGTGCAAGCAGCAGGACTGGCAGGCAACCTGGGTGCATCTGCCCAACTTGCCTGCCTATTTCTACCCATGGCAGTCCTTCTGGCTCCCTGCAAATGCTCCACAAAGGAGGTTGCAGAGATGGGTAAGTTATGCAGCAGAGGCAAGTTAGTTACATGTGCCTTCCATTTGCAGAAAGCAAGTCCTGTGCTCAGTCCTGAAGACACAATGGAGAACATCACCTTAAATTTAGTGGAACTAACTTAACATATAGGATTTTAGTTTGAATCTTAAAAAAAGGGATATGCAAAATGCGTAACTATTGAACTGTAGAACTGTAGGCCGCAGTCCTGTGCTTGCTGAATTGAATTACGTTCAGTTGAACTGAATGAGTAATTTTTTTTAAGTAGATGGGTCTAGGATTTATATTTTAAAAAATCAGTCTAAACTCTTATTCATGGAAGTTGGATAGACAAATACTGTATGATCAATTTCAGTTGGGTGTAGTTGGTTGGACAGTACTGTGTAAATTCTTGAGCTAGTAGCCAGTTTTTGAAATACAGTAGAGCCCACTTATCCACAGAATGAGTGTCCACTGATTCATTTATCTAGTCTGAAAATGAATATTAAAATAAAAAATCCAGAAAAAAACCCAATTTTCACATGTATTACCAAAAGCAGCCACAAGAGGGAGCCAGAGACCATGCTATGAATACAGTACAGTACTTGTTAATGAAAAACACAAAGCATGGTCTCTGGCATCCTGCAGTGTCCAATTCTGGTAATGCATGTAATGTTTTTTCTGGTTTTTTTCCTTTTACAGTGGTGCCTCACTTGACGTTAATTCGTTCCAGCAAAATCGGCGTCAAACAAAATAAAAAAACCCATTGAAACACATTGAAAACCCTTCAATGCATTCCAATTGGCTGAACACCTGCTCGTCCAGCGAAGATCCTCCATACGGTGGCCATTTTCTGGTGCATGTTAAGCGAAAAATCAGTCCTAAAAACAGGGGGGACATTTTCTTCAGCCGGCGGCCATTTTGAAACCCGACGATCAGCTGTTTGTGAAAATTGGTTCCCCTAACAGGGAACTGATCATCGTGAAACGAAAAAACCCAATTTAAACCATCGTTTTGCGATCGCAAAACTTCAACGTTAAGCGGATTTGTTGTAGAGTGGGGTAATCGTCCAGTGGGGCACGACTGTACAATGATACAGTGTTCCCTATTATCTGTGTTTTTCAGTATTCACAGAAACAATCCCCAGCAGATATGGGGCCCTACTATAGTTGATCAGTTAATTGTTCATAGTTCATAAGCTGATTGTTCTATAACGTCTTCTTTTCTTCTTGGCAGGCAAATTTCAGGTGATGATACAGAAGATATAGACATATGTAGAATCTACTTCCCGCCCTATAAAATGGCAAAATAAACTGTATATTTTATTTATAATTGTTACATGCAGCTGTCCTGTGTTGTATATAATATTGGTTTGGCTAAACTAAACAGTCTTAACTCTAATTTTTGGATATGATCAATGGTCATATCAACTCTAATATTCAGATAGGATTAATACTTATTTTCTTAAATTGTCTTGTACAAGTGTGTACAAATGTGTTTTCAAGATGTATTTTGTAAGTTTGTAAATATGGAACAGAAACCTTGATTAAATGCCAAATTCTAACTGCTGTCCATTTAAGATAATATTTTGACCTAGTAGCGTAGAAGTTGTTTAAGGTTTATATCCAGAAATAGGTTTGGCAAGATCATAACATATAGTGAAATTTGCAGATAAGGCTGGAGTTTTATCAAACACTGGTCAGAATCCTATTGGAATTTAACTCCAGAATAAGCCAAACCACATTGTCACAGTGGTTAATTTCATCTGATAAACAAGATGCTGGTCATGTGCCTGGCATGTAACCAGGTGCATGACTGGCATCTTGTTAATTAGCTGCAATTAACTGTTGAGGATAACTCACGTTCATGTACTCTGGAGTAAAATCCTAATAGTGTTCAGCCCAATGCAGATAAACCACAACTGCAGACTATGACAGTTCCTCCAGTCACATGGAAGATTTATAAACTTGTTTTAATGCAAGTACTTAATATTTGCCCTCAGCAGCTCCACAGCATAAAGTATTTCACTTTTTCTTTCACAGAAGAAATGGCATGCATGATGGCATTTGACACTTGTACATTATCTAAAATGTTTCTTATTTCATAAACATTTTACCCATATGCAGTCACTAAATAGAATAATATTTCATTCATTGAATTTGTATCCTGGTCCCATTAGTACCACAGTACTACTCTGGGCTGGTTACAGCATGTATAATAGAAAACAAAAATAAAAATAGAGACATTAAAACTAGCAAGCACACAATGGAAAGTACTTTTAGAATTCTATTTGTAGCCTAAATTCAATGATAGCAGGCCTCTGCTGCAACACAGCTTAAGAAATATAACAGAATTGCTATCTGTTTGCATTCTGCATACACAGGCTCCTGTTATATGGGCTAGTTTGGAACAAATTTAGATCTGCATCCCATACTTCCACTTATGGTGGCTCAAACATGCAAAGAAATTTTAGAGGTGGCAAACGAACAGTTCAGGAACAAGAATAATCAGCTAACCAGATTAAACACATCCCTAAATAATGTCTACAATTGAAGAGATTGTGAGGAGGAGAACAAAATAGGTATTTGGTATTTAGGTATTTCCCATGTGAATTTCAGTTAAAGGCTAAACACGCAATGGAGCCTCTTTAGATCCTATAGGTGATCTGTCTTTTGACCTCAAGCTCTTTAGAACTTTAAAAGTAAATTGCAATCATTTGCTTTGAGTACAGAAACATGCTTTCCTGTTAAATTAGAATAACAGTCATATTTCACAGAATCAGTTTTGCTGCACAGCACTCTTGATGCAGTAGTTTTGTATAGCTAATACTTCCAGATTCCCTTCAGAAAGAGCCCTGCAGTTCAAGTTATGGTCTTCCTGTTCTGAACTTTGCCTTTTCAAGGAACAAAGGCAACAGACACATCAGCCTAAGCTGGAAAAAGGCACTTCTTGCTGCAGCCCCTGACCCCACCCCAGCAATTTGTACAGTAGTTCAGGTGTATTTCTAAACTGAACCTTGCTTTTCAGCCTAATCCATAACAGAATGAAATCCTGTTTCTATCTTTTTGCACAGCCACTGGTCTGGTCTAGATCAAGCTTAAATTTGTTGTCTCTGATCCAGTCCTTCAGGTACCGATTCAGAATGCCCATAGCTTAGCTGGCACACAAGGGAAAAGCATGCCAGATGCCATCAGCATACTCGAAGACTTTGCACCCTGTTATCTCCAGCTTTGTTGCTATGGTTTTGTTTCCTATACAGTACATATGGGCATGGGACAAAGCTAAGCGCTATATGCAGCAGAAGCAACAGGAAAGCTATTAAAAAGTAAAAGCCTCCAGCTTAAACTTCATAAATCCATCTTCCAAGGCTAGAGTCACCAAAATTTGATATTGTTGGACAAACAGGCTTGAGGGAGCACAATTTAGCCTAGGGGAACCTTTGGGTCACCATATGTTTTGGACTACAACTCTCATCAAGGTTCCCACTAAGCTGGGCATGCGAGCATCTCTGCCTCCCTGCACACAGCTGTCTTCCTCCTCTGTGCAGTGATCACATTAGGTTCTGGTTGCAATGGAATCCAGTGCGCAGGGGGCGGAGTTGCATACCCACGCAAGGGCAAAGTCATTTGAGAAGTGGAGCCCCGCCCAGCAGGGCTGAAAATTAGAGGGTATGTTGACTAGTAGAATGACTTACCACTGTCCGTGTTGGCTAAGGGTTTAAGGAACTGAAGCCCAAAACAAGTGGAAGTTCAAAAAAATCACCATCCTTCGAACAATTAATGGTACTGCCAGCTTTGAAAAGGGCAGCAGAATCAAGAGAAAAGCGTTTGTCAGGCTCTCGGTATAAAATAAACAAGACGACCCTTCAGTCCAAAACAGGACTCCTGTGGGACATTTATGTCTCCTCCACAGGAACTGTATTTGGTGTATGAAAGAAGTCAAGTTGCTGGTTGCTGCCCACACCTGCCTTTGGTTTCTGCTTTCGGTTGTACTCACTGCTTTGGCTTACTCTTCAGCTAGAGATTCCTGGGCAGCTCAAAACATCTTTATTGTTGGATTTCTGATCTGATGGAGTGGAGGTCCATGCATCTGATGAAGTCTAAAACAGCTTAGGCCAGATAAAATGTGGTAGTCTTAAACTACTACAAGACCTTTTGTGTATAAAGCCACCCCCTTAAAGCATTTTGGGAAACACATTCAAAACATTTTTTGTAAACTTTATTGTAAAACATAAAAAGTGCTATAAAGCTTGCATTATCCTACTTCAATCCTACTGTTTTTAAACTGAGACAAAAGTGTCTTGTTCCATGATGTACGAACCGAATAAGGAGGATCTAGCAGTCTGTATGTACACATTGCATCAAGCAAACAGGTCCATAAGGAAGTGTTCAGGCACCCTGATGCTTTCCTGTTAAAGTCAGCATCTTCTAAGCTGACTTATTCAGCAACTATCTTGCTTTTAAAAGAAGTCTGAAGTACTCTTTGTCTGCAGATCACACAATTCCCCCGCCAGCCAGTGGGTCACACTGAACACTGAGATTCATCTGACCGTAACACTTTAATTCTGGTGGACCTCACTGATAACAACCACAACCATCCTGTGCTTGTATAGTTTTCCTCCAGAGTTTTATCAAGATGCCTCATCAGCTAGGTCATGCTGGTCAAAATATCTGTTGGGTGAAAGGAGAAAAGTCTATGGAAATCGCACAGATCGTGAAGAAATATGTAATACATTATTTAAATATGTTAAAGAAAAGCAACACATACACCAGAGTATCTATTTAAAATTCCTCCACCTGAATCTTAAAGGTCCAAACTGTATGCATTTTAACTGCCTCTATAAGAACAGAATAAAGGTGCCAGCTAATTCAGCACAGGTCTACAAAGCTGGAGTAGAGCCCAAGTAGAGCAATATCTTCTATTATGCACAGAGCAACAAACAAAAGAGCCCAAACAGCTTCAGTCTTGTTATTGCATTCAATGGGACATGAAATTAGATGAATTCCATTCAAGGTACTAGAACTGAATTTGATTGAGTCATTTATTTTCTCCTATGTTCTTGACAACATAATAGACTTTATGATTGCCAATGAATTGGGCAGCATCCCCAAATAGAACTGTGGAGAAGTAATCAGGGAATCAGAAAAGGCCAGGAGCACCTAGGCATGCTACAGAAAAGCTGTGAAACGCTACTGTCTTAGATTGCATTCCCAGCCTCCTCTGAACAAAATGACCCACACACCATGCTGGCTATAACACTCTGGAAATTCCTGTCCAGAAAAGTAACTTCTCCAAACTCTGTGTTCCACACTATATAGGATATCATGGTTGTCTGTGATTTTTGATACTCAGTGCATGCCATTATCCTCAAATTATCTTCCATGTCACTCTCAACCATAGCTAGTGATGGCTGAATTTTGTCCCTTAAATCTTCACCAAGAAACACCTTTGGTTGGACTCAGAGTTGGAGACATGCAGCTGGGGTTGAAAAAAACCCTCTCCCTCCCATGGTAATTACAAGGGCTGTGGCTTCTGGGGAAAAGTCCCATAATTCAGTGGAACCCCAAGAGATTTCCTGACTATCTTCTGCCCTTTGATGCTTCGCAGCCCCATAATTTGGCCTGGGGAGTGGTGGTTTCCTGCTGAATTATAGGACTGGGAGTTCTGTCCTGAAAGTCTCATCCCTAGTAGCTACTCCAGCTCCCCGACAATGTAATGTGGAGGGCCAGAAGACCCTGCTGAATGAGGGAGGCTAGCGTTTGGGGGCTCCTGGGGAGGGAGGAATAACTAAAAAATGCCTGGAGCCACCATCTATAGCCACAGTCCCACTTACAGCAGACTTCTCTGCTTAATAATATTCTGGACTCTGCCCTTTGGCTCCACACCACAGTCGGCTTCTGCTTACTTAGATCCTAAGTCTGAATCTAAGTCTGTTTCAAGAGGCTCAAGAAACCATGATGCTTCTTGCAAAAATCCTGTTGTGCAAATTATGCCTGAGGAATGGAGATGATGTCAATAGCAACAAAAGATTTTCAGTAATGTTTAAAATCCTACTTCACAGGAAATACAAAACCAAATTCCCAGAGCAGATCACAGAATACAGTAACTCTCTGTGATCCAGGTTTATTTTCTTTAAATAATAGTTCAATATAATGGTTATGCCACTTGCCTTACCTGCCAACCAAACAAATTAACAAGTTCAGAGCGGACACTTTTTCTTCACTCTTGTTCTCCTGAAATAGATTTGAGGGGAAAATTCATGTAGTATGTTAGAGAAAACACTTGAAACGTGATGCATGTCAACTACCTCAGACGTGTTTTGTGAACATCTGAACAGCCAAAGTACTCTAGTGACCATTGCCAATAATGTAAACATCAACAATGGCATTCTGCGAGCCAGTGTCATTTGTATTGATAAAAGTGTCAGACTACGACTCAGGTGACTTGGCTATAGATCCTCACTTGGCAACAGATGGCAGCAATGGTGCACTACACCATGAACATCTCGTGTATCTTGAAAACTCTGTTAAAACTGCCCGTAAGTTGGAAGTAAATTGGTAGCACAGAACATTTTCAGGTAAAATCTGAAAGGTGTTGAACTGCCCGTTTCTCAGTCTTTCACTAAATTCATCAAACGTGTCATCAGCAATATGTAAATGTCAATATTCTGGACAGTCGCTGTAAGAATGGTAGGTACCCCAAATTTCTTTCATGCTTTGAATCGTCAATGTCAAATATACTGAAGGAACCAAAAGTAAAATAATGTTATGTATGGAAGAAAACCGATGAGATGGCACAAATGGCTTCTTCCTTTGTTCTTTTCTCATAATAATTAGCTGCTTCTGCTTACCTCCAAGACTCGGACTTCAGAGCACCGCCTGGCCAACTGCCGAATCAGGGAGTGAGCCTCTGGTAACAATGGTTTTTCAAGACAGGCCAAAAGCGCATAAAGCCATCTGCCCTAGAGAAATTCAAAGGGTTGACACCAGTATTTAAGAACTGTGGCATTTTATATAGTGAAGCAGGAATATCGTTATCTGTTGATTTTAACAGAGTATGTCCCAACCTAAGGACTAGTACTGTGACAAATCCTTGAGGAAGTCAGTCAGCACAAAACTAACGTATGTTCCTTAGCATTCTATCAAGCCAAGTTCAAAAAGTCTATCAAAGCTGGAGTGAAGTCCATGCACAAGGTTTCTGAATTGTTTCTGAACTATAAGCATAAAACTTACTTCCTCTACATTACTCTGGTATGGTAAGACAGACTTACGATTTATTTTGTGATTATGCAACTGTTTTAGCTTTTTATATATAATAATTAGAATAGTATCTATGTAAAACAAAACATATGCTTAGAAGATTAGAATAGTATCTATGTAAAACAAAACATTTGCTTAGAAGATACAGTAAACCAATCAGGAATGCAGGAAACAGAGAACACGAGAAAACACGGGCAAAAATATAGCCATACATTATCTAAATATTTTGCATTTAAATTTTCAGGAATCTGTCTTCCTGTGATAAAAAAGAAAGACACTGAGTTACCAGTCCTGGAGTAAATTCCTTCTCTACAAGCCAATTTGTCAGATATTCCAAGACACTGGTTACTGTTGCCTTTCAGAAGAAAGAGAAGCGTTTAAGACAAATAATTTTCTCTGACTGGTGCTTTTATATAGTTCTTACATTAGCTTACACTGTATTTATATTTTAATAAAGACACAACGAAGAATCTAGAAATCAGATTACCAACAAATAACAGTTCCATCAGCTTGCATATTGTGCAAAACCACCTTGCAATGTTAATGTGATTTCATATTTTATGACGTTATAAAATAGTTGGCATCATCCACAGAGAGAATATAAAATATAAAAATATTCTGAGAAGTTCATATACAAATGAAAACACTCTTTAGGGAGTTCAGAGTATGTTACAACCTTCAGAAACATTTAATAGTGAAGCTGTTCCTTTTGATAAGACACCGTTATAAGCAAAACATTTGAGCAGATGACACATATCTGCATAATGCTATGAAGACTTTGCCATCAGCCACATTTATAGACTGAAAGAAGCAGTTACCTGATTCATTCTGCTAACAATGCTCAGCAGTGGTGGAAAACCAATCTAAAAGAAAAGACATACCGTTAATATGTAGCCTTTTTCTAAGACACAAATATACTCGCTGGAAATCTAAATTAGCTTTAGTCAGAAATGGGACTGTTGTCTTAAGAAAAGGGCACATAATCTTCTCAGTTTGCAAGGCTACTATTATAGGCAAATACATCAGCATATAGACTCCTACACTAAGCAACAGGATTTCAATTCTCATACAGTATATCTTTAAAAAAAACCATGCATACCACTGGTAACAGCATAGTTCAATCGTATGTACAATATGATCCTATGAATCTCCTGAGAAGTCCATTAAGTTCTGAGAGGACATTATTTATTTATTTATTTGTATGTTTGGTTTATAGGCTGCCTTTCTCCCAATAAAGGGACCCAAAGTGGCTTATAATATTAGAAAGAACAGAATTTAAAACATAGTAAGTTAAAAAACATTAAAAACAAACTATGTGCTACTTAAAATACAATAGAAAAATTAAAAGCAAGTAAACATTAAAGAGTATCTTAACTCTGAGAAGGCATTCAGGGATTCAATCATGACTGTTAAAGGCCCGCCTGAAAAAAACTCATCTTCAGCTGTCGGCAGAAAGATAAAAGAGAGGGGGCCAGCCTGATCTCCCAAGGGAGAGCATTCCATAACCTGGGATCTGCCATGCAGAAGGCCCTCTTTTATGTCTCCATCAGCTGTGTTGCACTGGCAATGGGATCAAGAGATGCAAAGTAAGTGTTACCTACATTTTCTCTCCCACACCTCCACTCCCACAGAGAAAGTGATGAAAGTTAGAGAAGGCCTATAAAGTTACGAATTGTTTACCCATTCATTTATTAGGAAATGACCCTCAAACACTTTTTCTTCTTTCCAATGATCAGGGCCTTCCACTGAAATTAACTGAAACAGCAATACTTGCATGAATGCCGTATTATCAATAATAGTTATATATTTATTTACGTAGCACTATCTACATTGACTGTGCTTTGCAGAGAACAGCTATGACCGGTCCCTATTCCTAGGGATTCACCCTCTAAAACTGATCACTAGTAAAAATAGTGGAAGCAAAAGGGAGGCACAAGGAAGCAGAAGGATGGGTAATTACTACAAAGCCTTCAGCTCAGGACAGGTATTGTTGGATCAAGAGGGATATAACAATGCTTTACTGGAACAGGTGAGTTTTTTTTTGGGGGGGGACAGAAGAGTGGAGACTGCACAGAGGCATTTTGGATGACCCTATTTCAGATATAAGGGGCAGAAAATGAAAAAAATGCAGTAATTTCCTGAAGCTAGGATATTTTGAATGGTGTTGGATAATGTAGTTGGGTAAATGAAGTTCACATGAAGAAGGCTATTGAAGGTGATAACAAGAAGCTTGCACAGAATCCATGACTGGAAAAGAAATCTGTGTCGGAATTTAAGGTCAGGGCAATGAAAGATGGTCATGTCAGTGAGAGAGGTGAGAGAGGAAAACATTTTAGCAGCAGAGTGAACATCACATACACCTCACAGCATGCATATAACTCTTTAGATTTGGATATAGATATGAAAAAAAAGTGAGATTATTTTGTCCAAATATAATACCCACCTGTACATAATCAATTCCATTATTTCCATCGCTTGGTTCTTGCACAGTTGTGTCTAAATATAACTTTTCGCCCAAACAGAATTTTTTCCAACCTTCTTCATCCTCTGGTCTGGGCTGAAGAAAGCAACAAAAGAAGATACATAACTTCAGAGAAAGACAAAAAAGGATGTAGTCATAAAAATCTGAATGGGAATAAAACAGGGCAAGCACTGAACAACTGTGGTGAAAATTTTAGGCTCTACTTACTATTGCTACATTGCTGTCCAACTGCTGTGACTTCCAGTGATTCCTGTGCTTGTTTACACTCTGGATGATTTGAAATTAAAATCTGATATGAGTTATTTCTTAGGGCTACAACATTAGGCAATCAAATAAACCAATTCATTAATCTTTCCATCAACTAAAACAGGGTAAGGCTTTTAAAGATGCTTTTATAATGTTTAATATATACAGCCCCTTCAAGGAAGCACACTTAAATGTGCTGAAGGGGTTTGAGTGTGTCAGTGAAGCTGAGAGCAATACCATCAGGAGGCCAGACTCCATTACAGTGGACCCTCTACTTAAGGAATTAATCTGTATTGGAATGGTGGCTGCAAGTTGAAAGGTCTGTAAGTCGAATCTCCATTGACCTACAATGCACTGAAAACCGATTAATCCCATAACCAGTGGTTTTTATTCTATTTTTATTCCATTTTGGTTTTTTTCTGGTCCGTAAGTCGATTCTCTGGCTGCAAGTCGAATCTAAATTTTGCAGCCAGAGAAGTCTGTACAGTAACTCGAAAAGTCTGTAAGTCGAGCCGTCTGTAAGTCGAGGGTCCACTGTACAAGCATCAACTCCTAGTAGGGTCACCCAAGGCAGAATGGTCACACCTGACACACCAAACTAAGATGCATCTACCCTCTTCACGGGCAATGGCTGCATCAGCAGGAAAAAAATGGATATTTATTTTTTATTTATTTCCATTTCTATACCACCCCATTAGTGCTGCCACTCTCTGGGCAAAATACAATAAAATAAAAATGGTTGTTTATAAAAATAACAAAATACAATAAAATACAATTAAACCCTGTCATTAGCTGGAGCTATAAT